GTGCACAGGTTTCATTGGAGGTTCTAGGCACTATGATCAGATAATTTTCTGGATTTATAATAGCTAAATTAATAGGCAGGTAGCATCCTGATCCACCATGAGTCATTACTGGGAAACTACCACCCTTCCTAAATTACCTGTCTCTGAAGCAAATAGTAGGTACCCACCTACCTCATAGAGTTCCTCAAGTTTTCTGCTTAGTAAGTCAAGTACTAGACAGCTATAAGAGTGCTTTGAAACTGTGGAATCAGAATGCAAAGGGACGTGCTTTCAAGATGCCCGGTGTTTTTTAATAGTGTCTCAGGAGAAGTGCATTAAGAAACCCAAGCCCCTTATTATCTTCCTCCTCCTCTGTGGAGGGAGCCTGGAAGCTGTCTGAAGGTATGGTGATATGCCTGTCACTGCTGATGTTTTTCTGTAGCAGATGATTGCTTTGATTTGTGCATTACCGAATTCTGTAGGAGGATCATGTTAAAGAGAAACTGGCTTAATTGTTTCCTGACAGTTGCAGCCAGAAGCCTTTTCGAGGCTGGGTTTCTAGTTTAACCACTAAGGCCTGGGGATTTCAGTTGTGGTTCTTGCTTCTAGAATTTACTTCCTCTCTGTGGTTGAGCAAACCCAGCTCACCTTCCAGTCTATAGCTTCACTTCCTTATTTTATGGGAGTTTTTCCTTCACCAGTGTGAGGAGGGAAGGCTTGAGCTTGAGCACCAGAATCCACATAAAATTGGAGTATAACATTGAACCACAGTAATCCCAGCAATGGTAAATTGGGAGTTGGAGACTGAATTTCTGGAGCTTCCTGGTCAGCTAGCCTATCCTACCTGGTGAAGTTCTAGGTCAGGGAGAGATCTGAGGACCAGCCGAGATTGTCCTCCAGCCTGCACACACATAAACACATGGACACTGGCATACATTTGTGCTCTGGCCATGAACACATATATACACACACACACACACACACACACACACACACACACACACACACACACACACACACGGAGGGAGGGAGGGAGGGAAGGAAGGAAGGAAGGAAAACAAGAAAGTATTTAAGAAGATAGGTGAGCTTGGCAGAACTCGTTAACACAAGTTTGTCTTTTCATGCCTCCTTAATGGCTCACAAAAGACCAGTGTGTGAATCAGATCATTGCACCAGCCTTCAGGCAGCCCTGTGATCCAGTTTTATAAGAAATAGGTTAGTGTTTGAAACTTAAAAGAGAGGAGAAGATAATGATATCATCTCTGTGAAGTTTAGAGAAGGGGCTTAGAAGTCCTTATGGTGGTGAGCTAGGGTTAAAGTACGTTAGGGTTTTGTAAGTGTAAATGGTAAACCATGGTGCCAGGCCTGGTGGCACACACCTTAGTCCCACACACAGGCAGGTGGAGCTCTGTGAGTTCCAGACCAGCCAGGGCCATATACTGGGACAAAAACTGGAAAAAGGTTAGCCATATGGAGGATTTAGAACCAAATGGAGACTTTAGAGCTATGGTGTCTAAGAAGGGTGGGGACATATTCTTAACACTTGGCCTCCAGTGCTGCTTTCCCACCACAGGCTCTGGGCATATCAATTTCCTTATCTATGATGTAGAGCTGGTCCAGTTATATCAGGTGTTGTGCCAATCAGATGAAATAATGCTGCATTTTTATCAATCTCAGATGCAATCAATTACAAGCCCCACCTTTCCTTTAGTACCATTGCAAAGAAAAGAATGCTGACAGTTAAACCAACTTGGTTTCAGGTGTGATGTACTCAAGATTTAGAGATCTTAAAAGGTAATGGGCAAGTTGGGCCATAATGGCGCACATCTATAATTCTGACACTCAGGATTCTGAGGAAGGAGGATGGAAAGCTTGAGGTTAAAAAACAAGACCTTATCTGGACCAAAAGGGGAGCAGGGCTGGGAAGATGGTCAAGCTTTTCAAGCATTTGTCACTTAAGAGGCCTGGAATTTGGATCTCCTGAATCCATGTGATCTGTGATCACCAGGTGTTCACCATGACAGCCCTCATGCTGGTGTGGGGGTGACTAGCCATATCAGTTCCGGGTTTGATTAAGAGATCAAAGCATTGAGACAAACCATGTGTGTGTTTGTTTTTCTCCCCTTGACAGAGTTTCTCTATGCAATAGGCCTGGCTGTCCTGGAGCTTACTTTGTAGACCAGGCTCAGAGATCCACCTACCTCTGCCTCCCAAGTGCTGGGATTAAAGGCGTGTTACCACCACCTGGCTGACAAACCATGTTTTTAAAACCAGTAAAATCTGACATATTGGATAGGAAAGTACTCAGCTATACAGTTATCTAGGGTTGTATTTGATTTTTATTATGTTCATCCAGGGGATGAGGTGGAGTTATTAACAATAATATTTATTTATTGCTTATAATAAATAATATTTATTACTATTCTAGTAGATTCTTGACAAACCTTGGCTGATATACAGGTCCAGGAAGTCTTGAGCTAGCTCCTCAGCACCTCCTGGTAAGGATGGGGCATCAGTATTGCTTTTACAAATAGACTTTGTAAAATGAACTGCAGTTCATTTTAGGTCTCTCACAATTTTGTTAATGGATGTGCACTGAGCTTTGGATCTGTGTCAGGAGCTGTGCAGCCTAGTCTTGTATCAGCATATGACTACCTGTCCAATGGGTTTCCTCAGGGCAAGACACCTATGGAAATGGATTCTCACTTGGCAAGGACCAGTAGTACACAGGACAGTGTAGAAATTTGCAAAATTGTGCAACTTGCAGGCTCTTTTATTCTTAAGGTTTTTAGTTTTGTCAGTCATATCTGCAACAGCTGTACTTTTCTCTGCAAATTCTGTTCCTTTCTAAATATTTTCCCCTAAGAGTCAGAAGGGGGTTAATACTTCTTCTTCTTCTTCTTTTTTTTTTTTTTTTTTTTTTTAGGTTTTTCGAGACAGGGTTTCTCTGTAGCTTTGGAGGCTGTCCTGGAACTCACTTTGTAGACCAGGCTGGCCTCGAACTCACAGAGATCCGCCTGCCTCTGCCTCCCGAGTGCTGGGATTAAAGGCATGCGCCACCAACGCCCGGCGGGTTAATACTTCTTAAATCTCTTATCTGGAATTAAATAACTACAACTCCCAGTCCTGGGAACTTTTCTGACTCAATGGAGATAATTAGGTACATATGAGAAAATAACACTTGGAACATTAATCATGTCTCACAGTTTTGAAAAGGGGAGTAGGGCATGCATACACACAGACTAGGGGAAAAGCCTTAGGAATACACATAGTGCTAACTGTTGAGAATTAGCTCACTGGACTCCATAGAATCATAGAATCATTGGTAGGATCCTGTGTGCTTCAAGAAGAAAAAGTACAGTATAAAATGTGGGATGGATAGATCCATCTTTATCATACATAGGAGCTTATATTGGTGGAAAAAGTATGGCATAGTGAGATGGGAAAGAGTGCTTTATCAAGGTCTGCCCTTTATAGAGAGATTGAGACATGGGACATTCTTGTAGAAAAGGGGACTGTATAAAAGCATATCTTGGGCTGGACAGACTGACTGTTCTTCCAAAGGTTCTGAGTTCAATTCCCAGCAACCACATGGTGGCTCACAACACTTTGTAATGAGACCTGGTGCCTGGTTCCTCTTCGGCCCTGCACACTCTATTCATAATAAATAAATCTTTAAACAACAACGACAACAACAAAGTATATCTTGCAGAGGTGAAAGAATTGTCTGGGTTTGGATTCTGTTGTCCTTAAAGCATTATACCCATGTAACTTTGTAACCACAAGTAGCTGCCAGCTGATATAAGTGCTGCAAGAGCAGGGTGTGTCTGGCTTGATACTTAATTAAATCTGCAAAAATACTGAACTCTATGTCTAGAATAAGGTTATGCAGGGGGTGGGAAGGTGTATTGGGGAAATAAGGTAAAGGGGATCAATGGGGCTTTCATAATTATTACAATGTATTCCTTAAATTGTGATGTATTTCTTGTTAGTTGTTGGTTTGGGTTTCTTTTTATGTTTTTGTTTGTTTTTGGTTTTTCGAGACAGGATTTCTCTGTGGCTTTCGAGGCTGCCCTGGAACTAGCTCTTGTAGACCAGGCTGGTCTCGAACTCACAGAGATCCACCTGCCTCTGCCTCCCGAGTGCTAGGATTAAAGGTGTGAGTCATCACTGCCCAGCTGTGATGTATTTCTTAAAAGTAAAAAATAAAAGCCAATAATAAAGCTGTTCATGTAATCCTGGTAAGAAAAAATTCTGTTTAATTATAAATAAAGATAGTCTGAGTTATTCGGGGCCACTTGAGTGCAGTACACTTGGTGGTCAGAAGTTTTCCTTGTGCCTATACCCCTTCCCCACCTCAAGACCTGACAGGAGCTGAGGCTGAACCCTGGCAGATCTGCTCTTAAGGCATAAAGTCTAGAAGGGGACACATGGTGACTTGATAGTGACAAGACCCCCTGGATCACATGGTCAGAGTTCACAACACCCAGAACAAGTCATGTGCCTCAGATGTGCTGCAAGTGCACGAGTTGAGGTGTTCCCTCTTGTGCTGTTTTAGATTCTCCCAAATATCTGTAATCTCCATAGCCTTGGGAAGATCAGGCCACCCAAGTTGAGGGACATACACATAACTGATCAGTAGTCTCTAAAGTGTTAGGAAAAGTGAGAAATTGTCAGAAATTGGAGGAGACTAGGAGACAGTTCAAGGGCAGTCTGAAGCTTGGCTCATCCTACCTACCAGTCTTGTTCTCACAATGGGAAAGTGCCACACAGATGTAAGATCTGAACATCAGTGAAGCTCAGTAAAAGGGCTGTAACTATTTTCTCTGCAGTGCCTCTCCAAATCTACTGCTGTTTTAAAATACAAAGTTGACTTGGCCAGCACTTGGCCTCTTTTAGAGTGGTAAAGCAATATTTTTTGTGAGCTCTTACTCCCATTTATGTGTAGAAGGAAAGGTGTTGGTCCAGTCAGTTAAAGTTGACTTATGAATTATGTTTTAACATAATTTCTGTCTTTGCAGGGGAAGCGCCTATTACAGAAGTTCCCTCCCTGTTTGTGATCCTATCGGTATGCAGTTTAATGATACTGATAGTGTTAATTGCAAACTGTGTTTCCTGCTGTAAGGACCCAGAAATAGACTTTAAGGTGAGCACAGATGGCATGGACATTTAAAATCATCTGCGATTTTTAAAATGATGTGTGTGTGTGTCTGTGTGTCTGTGTGTGTGTGTGTGTGTCTGTGTGTGTGTGTGTGTGTTTACATGCACAGGTGAGTAAACATGGAAGCCAGACTACAACCTCAGGTGTCACCCTTAGTAATACACCTTTTGAGGCAGAGTTTCTTGCTGGCCTGGAGTTTGCTGTGTAGGCTGGACTGGTTGACCATCAAACTCCGGGGATCCTCTTGTCTCTTTTACTTCCCTAGTGCTGGGCCCTGCAACCACATCCAGCATTTTTATTTGTATTTGGGAGATTGAACTCAGGTCCTCCTCATGTGTACAAGGCAAGGAGTTTATGACTGAGTATTTCCCCAACCCTAGAATATCTGACACATTTATCAGTAGCATTGCTGTGGATCACATTCTCTTGGGAGCAAGGGTCACTGGACTTTTCTTTTCCTGTCCTTCTATGTAGCAAAACATTGTGGGCCACACAATCTCTCTGTCATAGCCTTCTTACCCTCCACCCTGCCATTGTAGTGCTGTATCAGTGACAGATGCTCTGTTAACAAATGGGCCTGGCTTTGTGCCAATAGAATTTGATTTACAAAAGTAGGTGGCTTGGAATTGGCTTATCAATTATAGTTTGCCAGCCCTGCTTTAGGGAGTCTGTGTGTGTGTGTGTGTGTGTGTGTGTGTGTGTGTGTGTGTGTGTACACATGTATGTGCAAGTATACTTCCATATATATATATCTTCTCTGTACATATAGAGACCAGAGGTCAACCTTATAGATTGTTCTTTGGGAGCCATACCAAGATAGGTCTCTCACTGGGGTATAGTTCTTGGATAAGGCTAGACTGACTGGTCAGTGACTCCCAGGGTTCTGCCTGTCTCTATCTCCTTAGCAATGGGATTACAAGTGTGCATCACCATGTCTGGATTTTTTGTTTGCTTTGGTTTTTGAAGACAAGATTTGTCTGTGTTGCTCTGACTGTCCTGGAACTCACTGTACAGACCAAGTTGGCCTCAAACTTAGAGATGCACTTGCCTCAGTCTCCTAAGGGATGGGATTAAAGGCATGCCACCACTGCCTGGCTTATGTTTGCCTTTTTACATGAGTGCTGGAGATTGAATTCAGTTTACCTACCAAGCTGTCTCCCCAGTCTTCTTGGAACCTTTTGACAGCAAGTACCACTTACTGGTGGTATGTCTTTTTTTTTTTTTTTTTTTTTTTTTTTGAGACAGGGTTTCTCTGTATTGTTTTGGAGGCTGTCCTGGAACTCGCTCTGTAAACCAGGCTGGCCTTGAACTCACAGAAATCTGCCTGTGTCTGTCTCCCGAGTGCTGGGATTAAAGGCATGTGCTACCAACGCCCGGCTTTGGTGGTATGTCTTAAGTTTTTGTTTAAATAAGTAACTATGTGGTGATCGAATTCACTTATTTAGAGTCTGTCTGTACAGAAGATCAGGCAGGTTTTGTTTCTTTCAGGCTTTTGTATAAGCTGGCAAGTTTGTGATTATTAGCTCACCAAAGCAAAGGGATTTCTTCAGTGTTTTGTATATGAAGAAGGGTACTGGAAACCTCAAGTTTGTCTCTAAACCTTAGTTCCCCAAAGAGAATAACACTTCCTACTAGGACGCTTCTATCTACAGTCCTTATAACAGAGGGTCTGGCCTAGTAATAACAGATGGATGGGATCTACCAGCAAACCAACTGGGAACTCTTTCTAGAAATCATTGCCCATGTGTTGACACATTAGGGCCTCACAACATTTGTTTAAAAGGAGTATATAAGCTGGGTGTGATGGCTGCACGAATGTAATCCTAGCACATGGGAAGCTGAGGGAGAAGGATTGCTAGTTCTAGGACAGCCTGTCTCAAAGCACTTCCACAGTAAGCATTCTGTGGATGAGCTATCTCTCCAGACCCCCTCATATCATTTTTATTTTGTGCTCTCTTCACTTGAGTCTGTGATGCCTCTGAGGAGATGGGGAAGTGCAGTGTCCTCCTGGCTCAACGTTTTGCCCTGCACAGAAAGCTAAATGCAGGGGAACCCTCAGTCTAGATCAGTCTGTGATAGTGGTGACCTGTGGACATCTGTGGGCTTTATGCATAAACACCCTGCCCCCAAATGCTCACATTGATGCACACACTTCTGTGGGAACTTCCTGACTTCCCTGTTGGGAGCATGCCAAGAGCTAGAGAATCTGTATCCCCTGACCATCAGTTCTGCCAAGGGACTTTGCACAGAAACCTGGCTACTTGGGGACAGAGATAAAAGTCTGATGGGGTTGCTCATATCAAAGTCTGGCCTCTTCTCGTGTTTCCAGATACCTCATCCTTGCCTTAGACTGATCTGGGTTTTTGAATGTGAGTATTCACAAGGGAGCCAATTGTGATGCAGCTCAGAGTCTGGGAATGTACATCACTTTGCAGCTGCCCCATGACTGATGTAAGGCTGCAGTGTGTTGAGCTCTCCAACTTCAGAGTTTGTGACTGAATGAGTATTGATGTTGATGACTTGTTGGTTGGGTTTCTTTAGACTTAGAGCTCTGCAGTTGCAGGGACTCAGTGGACCTGCGGAAGACATTTACGGATCAGGAAACCATTTGCCCTTATGTCAGTATTTATTATTATTATTATTCAGTATCCTCTCCTTGAATCTTTAGAGTCATCTATTGGCATATCTATTGGTGTGCCATAGTTGCTGCCAAATTTTAAGTGACTTTTTTTATACAAAATTTAAAAAAATTATTATGTATGCAGTGTTATGCCTACATTCCAGAAGATGGCACCGTGTCTCTTTATAGATGGTTTTGAGCCACCATGTGGTTGCTGGGAAAATTGAACTCAGGACCTTTGGAAGAGCAGCCTGTGCTCTTAACCTCTGAGCCATTTCTCCAGCCCTTAAGTGACACTTTTAAGGTATGATGGATGAAGTCCTTTTAACAAGAGTGAGTTTATGAATGTACAACTGGGAGCTGGGGTGTAACGTGTAGTTTTCCTCTGCCAGCCGCTTGGGCTCTGCCACAGTTGCAGTCCCCAAATAACACACAGGAGGCTTATTGTTGTCCGTTTGCTTGTTTCTTACTGGCTAACCCATAATTGTTAATCTAAGTATTTCTCTTACTGGAGAAAAGGGTTCCGGGCATCTTACTTCTCTGGCGGGCTACATTGTCTCTGCTGTGTCTCTCTTTCCCAGAATCCTCCTCAACTCCTAGTCCCACCTATCTTGCTTCTCTATTGGCCAGCGTGGTTTATTGACATATACACAGGACTTCCCCATCACTGGGGAGATGGTGCGGTAGGTAGAGCAGTTGCTATGTAAGCATGAGGATCTGAGTTCAAATCCTCAGAACTGTGTAAAGCCAGATACAGTAACAGGTGTCTGTAATCCCGGTGCCCCAGTGGGGTGATGGGAGGCTTCCCATAAACCAGAGGGCCACCTAGCCTGGCATATGTAATAGAGAACAATAGAGACCCTATCTCAACAGTGGAAGGCAAAGGCCAGTACCCAAACTTGTCCTCTCACCCACAGACACAAAAATGGAACAGTTATTTTTCTCCCTCTTTTCCTTATTTATTTTCTTGAACAAACTCTCATATAGCCCCTAGTGGCCTTGAGCTCCTGACCCTCCTTCCTCCACTTGCCAAGTGCTGTAAGCCATCACACCCAGCTTCTTTTCCCCTTTGAACCAGTGTCCCAATCTGCAACTGAGGCTGGCCTTGACCTGAAGATGCTGCTGGCTCACCCAGTGCTACACCATCACACCTAATATTGAACTTTCAGAACCTCATTTTTCCTGTATGCAAATAGCAATAATGTTGTTTAGACTGTCTGCTCACATGTATGCAGAAACCTAAATGTCAGGAGTCTCCCATTACTATTTGTAGGTTTTTTTCTTGTAGTGAGTGGGCTACTAAGGGAATGTGACAGAAAAGAAAAGTAAAAAGGGTGATGGCAGAAAAATGGAAGAGTTTGTTCATGGATCTGTTCTCTGTTTATATTCTGGTGCTCTGAGGGGTGACACTTGATGGTTATCCAAAGTAAGAAATGACTTGTTAATCTTCTGTAGCTCCCTTAAATTCACCTGGGGCCCAAAGGACACCCAGCTCACAGGGATGAGGATAGGAAGGGTCAAGACAGCGTTTGTCCAGCCAAGTCATTGAAGATTCCCGAAGCTTGATAGTTGCAGTCTCAGTTGGTTTTGTTTGACGTGCTGGGATGGAACCTAGGCTAGTGCAGTGTCATTGACTGATGCTCTTTTTTTTTTTTTTTTTTTTTTTTGATTTTTGAGACAGGGTTTCTCCGAGGCTTTTGGAGGCTGTCCTGGAACTAGCTCTTGTAGACCAGGCTGGCATCGAACTCACAGAGATCCGCCTGCCTCTGCCTCCCGAGTGCTGGGATTAAAGGCGTGCGCCACCAACGCCCGGCTCTGATGCTCTCTTTTTACTGTAACCCATTTATTTATTTTGAGACATGCTCTCACTAAGTTGATGAGGCTGGCCTTGAACTTACTCTATAGTAGAGATTGGACTTGAACTTTTTATAGTGCCTAGGTTTCCTGAGTAACTGGGTTACACGGCATGTGCTACCACACCCAGCTCCTGGTATACTTTCTTTTTTAAAGCAGGGTACTTTTATTATTTTTAAGCTGTGTGTATATAGGTATGTGCATAAGCACGTATGAAAAGCCAACTGTTACTGCTGTAGGGACTGAGAACTGAACCCAGATTCTTTGCAAGAGCAAGAAGTGCTCTTAACAACTGAACCATCTCTCCAGCTGCTTAAATATCTGAATTTTTAAACTTCTTATTTCAGTAGAAATCACATTGCAGTTAGAAGTGCAATTAGAAAGTTTCAGAATCAAATTAACTTTGACCCAGTTTGCAAAGAGATTTGTGAAAGGAAATAATGATTTTTTTGAAAGAATTGTTTAATCTTTTAACAATTCTTGGCCTCTTTAGTCCTTGAAACTTTTAAGCCTGGGCAAGTATTTCCATGTTAAGTTCTGTGGGCATTTTAGAAATTTTTGTTTTTAAGTTGTCAGTTAAAAAAAACATAAAATATTCATTGCTTACTTTAAAATCTTACTTATTCTCATTCCAGATATGGTGATACATGCCTGCTGTCCTAGAACTTGGGGAGTAAGAGCAGGAGGGTCAGGAGCTGCAGGCTAGCCTAGGATACGGGAGACTGGAGTGAAAAACAAAGCAAAATAAGAAAGAAAACATCTTATTTATTCTGCTATTTGGAATTAGTGAGCGTGATTACTTGTGCTTTTTTTTTTTTTTTCTTTTTTGGTTTTTTGAGACAGGGTTTTTCTGTATTGCTTTGGAGGTTGTCCTGGAACTTGCTCTGTAGACCAGGGTGGCCTTGAACTCACAGAGATCCTCCTGCCTTTGCCTCCCAAGTGCTGGGACTAAAGGCGTGCACCACTAGCGCCTGGCTACTTGTGCTTTTTACCAGAAGTGAATATGAATTAGATAAAGCTGTGGCGGGGTGTTCCAAATCAGTGTTCAAACACTCCTTGTTTCAACATTCACAGCCTGCTTTTCATATGCACTTTTTTTGATTGCAGGAATTTGAAGATAATTTTGATGATGAGATAGATTTCACACCACCAGCAGAAGACACCCCCTCCATCCAATCCCCAGCAGAAGTCTTCACACTCTCAGTGCCAAATATTTCACTCCCAGCTCCATCCCAGTTCCAGTCTTCTGTGGGTAAGACCTTCTGCCCTTGTGTCAGATGTCCGTGAACTCTTTCCAGCATTGAGTGTATAGAAGCCGTGCTCCAGTACAGCCACCCATCTCTTCTCTGCTTGTCTGTTTTTCTTCTACTCCTGGTGACACTGCATTGTGATAGTCAGGCTCATTCTGCAAAAGGTGTCTTTTAAACACGGAAATGGAAGCTGGGTGTACAGCTCAGCTGTTAGAGTGCTTGCTTAGCATTCGCAAAACCATGGGTTCTGTATAACTGGGTGCATAGCAAGTGCCTGTAATCCTGGCACTTGGGAGGAAGAGGCAGGAAGATTAGGAATTCAGGGTCATCCTAGGTTACATTAACCCTTTCTTTAAAAATGTAAAAAGGAGGCTGGGTGGTGGTGGAGCACGCCTTTAATCCCAACACTTGGGAGGCAGAGGCAGGCGGATCTCTGTGAGTTCGAGACCAGCCTGGTCTACAAGAGCTATTCCAGGACAGCCTCCAAAGTCACAGAGAAACCCAGTCTGTAAATCCCCCCTCTGCCCCCCCCAAAAGAAGCAAAAAGGCTCATGTGCTGTCTCTGGAAGCTGGTCATCTACTTAACCTTGATGAGTAGGACCATCTTGAGATAGATTAATTGGACTGGCCTTTCATAAGGGCTTTAGATAGAAGATTTGATGAGACTTTATTTCCTGTTATAATGTAACTGTGGGTGAAGACTGTAAAAGGAAGACTGTTTAAGTGTTTGCAGGTGCTCACCTGGCCTTTCGTGGTAGCCACTGCACTGTGGGATATGTTTAGGGCAGTATAAACCCAGGTTTGTCCTCCTGCAGGCATGTGTCCTGGTTACTGTTCTATCACCATGAAGAGACACCATGACCAAAGCAGTTTATAGAAGAAAGCATTTAATTGGGGTTGGCTTGCAGTTTCAGAGGGTGAGTCCATGATCATCATGGCAGGGAGCATGGCAGCAAACAGGAGCGGTAGTTAAGAGGTTATATACTGATCTGAAAGAAAGTTGGAGGCAGAGAGGAGAGAGACTGGGCCTCACATGGGCTTTTGAAGCCTCAAAGGCCACCTCCAATAACACACCTCCTTCAATAAGGCCACACCTCTTAATTTTTCCCAAAACTGGTCCACCAATTAGGGATCAAGTAATCAAACATATGAGCCTATGGGGGCCATTCTTATTCAAGCCACCACAGCATATGACTAAAAGAAGAAAGCTAGGCAGAGCTGGTGGCACACACCTTTAATACCAGCCCTCTGGAGGTAGAGGCAAGAGGATCTCTGTGAGTTCAAGGCCAGATTGGTCTACATGGTGAATTCCAGGACAGCAAAAGGAAGAAAGGAAGGATGGAAGAAATTAAGTAAGCTAAAACATGGTACTCAGCGGAGATGGCTCGGTGAGTAAAATGCTTACCATGCAAAGACCTAAGGCCAGATTCACCAGCACCACATAAAAGCCGAGCATGGCAGTTTATATGTATAACCCCAGGGTTGGGATTGGGTAGTGACATCCTTGGAGCTTGCTGGCTACGCCAAATCAGTGTAGGCTTCAGGTTCAGCGAGAGACCCTCTTTCAAAACACAAAAGTGGAGAGTTGCAGAGGCTCCAGCGGCCTCTTTGGACATCTGAAGGTAGTAGGCATCCTTGTGATACATATACATACATTCAGGCAAAACCCTAAGACACATAAAATAAATAATTCAAAACAACCTTTAAATGACATGTAGTATATTTTGTAGTGTTTGCCTGTTAACTTCATCTCTCAGGTAATTCTCTCCTTATAAGAGAAAGTGACTGCTGAGAATTCCATATGCATATCTTTGTAGCTTTGCTCTTCAGGGACTAGGAAGAACCAGTGTTGAGAGGCATTCTGGGTGGCTTTACTTCGCCCACATGCAGAAGCATCACTTAGGAAAACGGGGACAGATAAGAGACCATCAACTTTCCTTCAAGGTCTGTTGGGATGATTAGGAGCACAAACAGACATGGGCATGAAAGAAATTACAGTGAGCCAGGCAGCCATGCTTTTTCTTTCTTGAAGCCTCCTTGAATTCCTTCTTGGAGCTGGGGAGATGGCTCACTCTGTACACATAAGGGGCCTGAGGTTGCATTTCCCACTCCCATGTAAAAGGCCTGGCAGCATGACAGCACTGTTAGGCCTGGGTTCACTGGGTGATTCTGTCTCAAAAGCTGAGGTAGGGGAACAGAAGACAACACTTGGCATCGGCCTTCAATCTGCATGCAGCATGCGCACATGGATGCGCGTGCACACACAAATACAGATGTGCACTATAGACAGCTCCCCCTCAAATGTGTCAGTAAATAAATTCTCAATAGGAAGAAATCATTACATATTTCTTTACTTAGAATACTCACAAGTATTTTTATCATCCTGGGATATAAAAGAAATTGCTGTGCTTGGCACTAAATCTAGATGCCATGAATGAAAACACTCTCAGCTGGGTGATGGTGACGCACGCCTTTAATCCCAGCACTCGGGAGGCAGAGGCAGGTGGATCTCTGTGAGTTTGAGACCAGCCTAGTCTACAAAGAGCTAGTTCCAGGACATTCTCCAAAGCCACAGAGAAACCCTGTCTTGAAAAACTAAAAAAAACAAAACAAAAACAAAAAACTTTCAAATCTGATTCATAAAATGAAATGTTCTGTATTAAAAAATACACTATACATCAGTTTGGCATGGTAGCAATTGTAAAGCACATTAATGAGTTCATACAGATGTTTTAAGAAATTAAAGAGAAGCTCGGTGGTGGTGGTGCATACCTTTCATCTCAGGGAGGCTGAGGCAGGCAGATCTCTGAGTTTGAGGACAGTCTGGTCAGCAGAGCAGGTTCCAGGACAATCAGGGCTACAAAGAGAAAAAAGAAATTAAAGAGTGATGTGGGGTAGGGGAGATGGCTCAATTGGTAGTGTTTGAGGACTTGAGTTTGAACCCTAGAACTCAAGTAAAAAAAGCTGGGTGTTGTTGTGCACACTTATAATCCCAGCACTGGGGAGGCTCAGACAGGCAGATCCTTGGTGCTCACTGGCCAGTCAGCCTGTTCTACATGGCAAGCCTCAGATTAGTGAGACTCTCAAAACACAAGATAGCTAGAGAATGACTTCTGCTTCCATATGTATGTGCTTACCCACACGTGCACACAAACTAAGCATAAAGAAGTGCTGTGTCACTAGAACCAAGTAAGCTAGGATGTGAAAGGAGATGGTGATGAGTGAAATTGAAGTGTCCGTATGTGCACACAGAAAAAGCATCATTAATTGATGAAATATCGGCTTTTGGAAAGATGATAACTTCAGGAGGAGCAAGAGGGCGTCCTGGGTGGTTTGGTGAGTGTGGGAAAGGACCCAGGCCCTCCCAGCCCCTCACTGTCAGTGCAGCCAGAGAAGGGAGCTTACTGGTAGAGCATCTGAGTGTGGACGACCTTTATCTTCATCCAGCAGATCTACTTCAAGTAGCTTATCTTTAAGAACCAATTGGGTAACTGTTCAGTGCAAGATGTGCAAAGTAGCAAATTGCAGCACTGTTGGGCAGTGCAGATGGAAGTATCAGTTGGTAGCTCGATAGAGTTACAGGAAATACTGACAATGGTTTGTTGTGTAGTTTGTTGGTGAACTGTGTCTGATTGTGAGAGATAACTTGTGAAAGGTGTGTTACCTGTTCACCAGCAAGTTTAGAAGCCTATTTTTTTTCCTCAGTAGTGTGAGGTTTTTTTTGTTTGTTTGTTTTGTTTTGTTTTGTTTTTGTTTTTTGGTGGGGATGGGTGTCTAATGATTTAGCTCTGGCTGGTCTGGAAGTCACTATGTAGGCCAGGCTGACTTCCAACTTGAAGAGATCAACATGCTCTACCTTCTAAATACTGGAATTAAAGATGTGTACCACCACACCTGGCCATGTAAACACAAAATATATTCTCTTGGTCCTGAAATTAAGGCATAGAAAAGTATTTGTAATGAGATTTCTTCTTTGTTTTTTATAGCTTGTGCTCAGGAATTTTTATTCACATGCACTGAGCTCACCTTGTGCATATAGATTGGTGGTAGAATTCAATTATAAATTAGGCACAGCAAGAGAGAAACGCCTCAAAACAGAACCCTTGAGACAATATAGTGCAGTAAATTCTGTGAATGAGGACTCTCGGACACTCTATCTCTCCTCCACCACACACACACATCATGCCAGATACCAGAGAAAGATGGCAGCATCAAACATGTAAAAACACAGCAGAAGCAAAAGACATTTTGGGGTCTGTGGTCTCGGGGCCTTGCCTGTCCGAAATTCACTCATCAGGGAGTTTCCTCCTGGTGGCTGACACCTTGAACTCCAGTTGCCACCTGCTGCTCCTCTGACAGGGCCACAGGCAAAGCAGGGCTTAGCACTAGACAAGGATTGCTGGGGAGGAGTCTGGTTCTGGTTCTGAGTCAGGTGTGGGAGTCATTCCCAGTGGTCCTTGGAAAGTCATTTGAAGGAGTAGCATGGGTGCTGAGTCAGTAGGTTTGAAGAACAGTAAAGTGTAGAGTTGACATCATGGGTTGAAGCCATGGAGAGCAGGATGGTCTTTGTAGCCCAGGCTGGTCTCCTGTGCCTCCCAAGTACTGGGATCATAGGCATGTGCAACCGTACTCAGCTTCTCTAGGATTTTGTTTTGTTTGGCTTCAAACTCACTGAGATCTGTCTGTCTCTGCCTCTTGAGGACTTTTTTAAATGTATATACTCACCAATTTAAGTATTTTGTTTCCTTTTTTTTTTTTTTTTTTTTTTTTTTGTGATGGTTTCTCTGTCTAGCCCTGGTTGTCCTGGAACTTACTCTGTAGACCAGGCTGGCCTAGAAGTCAGTGATCTACCTGCCTCTGCCTCCCGAGTGCTGGGATTAAAGGCGTGTGCCACTACTTCCCAGTTTATACTGTTTTTTGTAAAGCAGTTTTAGGATAATAGCAAATTGAGGAGTTACAGTAGTCTCTGGTATAGCTCTTCTTGCCCACATGTATAACCACC